GGGGTGTTGTTTGTTTGTTTAAATATATATGTTAGTGTGCTTGGTTGTGTGTGTGTGTGGTTGTGTGTGTGTGTGTAGGATGGATTGATTCGATGGGTGGGAGTTGGGTGATTATGAAGGGTGTTTTTTACTTGTTGCTTTTTTTCTTCTGAGCGCAAAAGAGGATTTTTATTTATTTATTCAATATTCACACACCACCTATTCTGGACTCATGATTGTGAAGATTTATGTTGAGGTACTAGACTTTGGATCTGATGGCCAAGATCATCTTGTGTTCTCGTTCTGGTCAGGGTTTGGGGTGTTTGTTTGGTCGAGTTGTGTTGTGCTCTCCTTTGACTGGGTAGACTTGTGGACTGGGGCCGGGGAGGGGGGAGGGGCATTTGGGAGGTCTAGATTTGTGCCTCGTTCGAGGGCGGGTGTTTCTGAGATATTCATATCGTAAGTTTAAGGGGAGAATCCGGGGTAAGAATGACGGGAGGGGGGCGGGGGATTAAAGAGGCATTGTGTGAATATGAAGAGACGCCCTCGTGGCGATCGAGGGGTTGGTTTCTTTGTCTGGGAGGGGAAGGGTCGTGGTGCTTGCGTCAGTGAGAGGTATTTTACACGGGATAGCCGAAGATGCGTTGAAGGCTTTAGGAAATATTTCCGAGTGTTGTTCTGTGTGTGTGCCTTGATTAGATTTGCCGGTTGAGAAGAGAGAAAATTGCTAGACCTTGAGTTTGTCTCTGCTAGACTTTTATACTTGATAACGTTTGCCACTGAGGTGTGTGAGATGGGGTGTCATGATTGGGTACGATCCCAGTTTTACATCAACAGGCATTTAAGACGGACCAGACCGTCTGTCTATACCAGTGTGTTGTGTATATGAGAGAGACTTTCCATTATCGTGAGATATCATTCTACATGCAGTCTACTTAGACCGGGCCATCTCCTCCGCGTCATATCTCCGTTTGTCTCTTTCTTGCTGCCAGATTGAGTTTTGGAGGTTAGATTTTTCGGGGACCTCGGCGGTTAACAAAGAAGGGCCCCCCGTTTTTGCCCCTGAAGATTGTCAAAGAGTTGATTTTCCTATCGGGGTTTGTTCCTGTCCCCCTTCCTTGGCGGGGTCGAGATCTGCAAAAGAGGTCTTCGAAAGTATCCCGAGTTTGTGTCTTTTGTCTAAAAAGAAGACTGGTGGGGTGTGGGTATAGCAAAGGAAGGGGCATAGGTATGAGGTGGGCAAGCAGACGCGAATACAGAAAATCTGGGCGGCGTTTCAA